TGTATTATAAGAATGTACCAAGCAGAATTTGATTGGAAGTTATGTATTATGTATTATATTGAAGGTCATAATCTTAAGGTATATATTGAAGTTTAAATAAGAATTGAATGGATGTAATTAAAAGATATAAAGGTGTCATACTCCAATTAGTAACTACAGGAGAAAATTTGTTTAATGAGAAAAGATAATATGAAATTGAAACAAAACAGACAAAAGTATAAATATAATGATTTGAATTGAGATGAGATAATCAAAATAAAATTGAGAAAATTAAAAGAGGGGAAAAACTATATAGAAAATGTAAAATAGTATAAAATATGGAATAAAACACAAAAAGGAGCATGAAATTGAGCTTTGTGTCTGTATAAAGAAGTTCAACCCGGGACCATGCTATTTTTAAAAAAGATGTTTTACTTGTATTTTGTATGCTTAAAACCCCAAATAAAACTTTATTTAAAAAAAAGAAAGAAGAGGATTTGTCTTCAACTGCCTATACTGTTAGGAAATGTTTTTCTTGTGGGGCTAGGGGATATATAGCTAAATTCTGTAAAAAAAGGAAAACAACAGAATACTGGTAATCACCAGAAGGCTAAGAAGAATGGTAGTTTAGCTATGTCTAGCAATTCAACTGTAAACCATGATTTGGGGGTTGTTGATAGTGGAGCATCGCAATGCATTACTAAAGATAGAAAAGTGTTTGTAAAGATGTCCACGAGTAAACAACATGTATCATTGGCAAATGGATGGAAGATTAAAGCGTCTGGTCAAGGTACTGCATATTGTTCTTGTATAAATGAACATTTAACTATGTTATATGTACCTAAACTGAAATTTAATTCATTATCAGTTAGGGCTTTAGTTAATCTTGGTTATGTAGTAACCTTTAGGGGAGATAACTGTATAATAGAGAAAGAGGGTAAAAGTGTTACTGCTACATTAGAAAATGATTTATATGTGATACATGATGACCAGTTGAAGATGGCTAATTCAGTTTATAACAATGTTAAGCCACATGATGAATGTATACATTTACTGCATAGATGTCTGGGGCACATTAATTTCAAAATGCTCAAACAAACTGTTGAATTGTCAGAGGGAGTAAAATTGAAACCCTGTAGCAAGTATTTAAACTGTAATGCTTGTAGCCAAGAGAAGAGTAAGATTACTCCTGCAAACAGACTAAATGGGTTTAAGACCAAAGAACCTTTAGAGGTTGTTTTTGCTGACATAATTGGTCCTAAGAAACCAAGTTTAGGAGGTGCCTGCTATATTTTGAATATTATGGATCATTACTCACGATACGGTTTCTGCTATCTTATGAAAAACAAAACAGAAACATTCCAACATTTTTTTAACTCGCTAAGGTTTGCTGAGAGAAAAATGAAAAGTAAAGTAATTACTTTAGTCACTGATAATGGGACTGAATTTGTTAACAAAGGATTCCAAACTATGTTGAAATTGGCTGGTGTTGAACATAAACATTCTGCACCTCACAGACCACAGCACAACTCATTTGTAGAATGAAGAGGGCAAACATTACAAGCCATGGCTCGCACTATGTTATCTGATTCAGGTTTGCCTGAAACACTGTGGGGTGAAGCCATAATGTGTAGCAACCATGTTTTAAACAATATAGTTAATACAACAACTGGTGAATTGCCATTCACTTGTTGGCATGGCAGAAAGCCAAATTTAAGTTACCTACACACATTTGGAGCTCCAGCATGGGTGCATATTCCCTCACAAGTAAAAATGAAAGGGTAACATAGAGTTAAGAAGTTATTTTTTGTGGGTTATGAGGCTAACCATAGATCGTTTAGATTCTGGGATCAAGGCACAGCTTATGCTTATTGCAGTGCTAATGCAAAATTTCTTGAGCATGTTGGATGGGATAAACTGGAACAGGAATCCAGCAATGATATTACTATTGACACCCAAATAGTCCCTAAAGATAAAATAAATAAACCATGAATAGCCATTAAAGAGGAAGAACAGGCACAGGAGGAAGTAGTAGAACAGGCACAGGAAGAAGTAGAAGAACAGGAGCAAGTGGCACAGGAAAGTCCACCAGTTAGCCCTGTATTACCAAGACATTCAACCCAAGTAACACGACCACCTGATAGATACCAGGCTAGTGTTTTATGCCAAGTGAATACAGTTCCAAGTAATTATAGTGAGCTGAAACTGTATCATGCTAAGGATCAGGCTACTTGGCAGAAAGCAATGGATAAGGAACTGGAATCATTAAAAAAGTTGGAGGTAAATGAAAATGTTAAGTTACCACCAGGTAAACATGCCATAGGGTGTAAATGGATTTATAAACTAAAGACAGGTGTGGATGGGACTGTTACCCATAAAGCCAGGTTAGTAGCACAAGGGTTGAATCAGACAGCAAATGACTATGATGAGGTGTTTGCACCTAGTCTGAAGGCTACTACATTAAGGGCAGCATTAGTGTGGGCAACTAAGAAGAAATATATTGTAAATCATTTGGATGTAGAAACGGCACATCTGCATGCACCATTGCAACACACTATATATTTAAAGAAACCTTTAGGTATAAAAGCTGATAATACAATTGATTGCTGGAAATTGAAAAAGTGTCTTTATGGTTTGAAGCAATCAGGATATGAGTGGAACCAGTGTATAGTTAAAGAATTAACTAAGATAGGTTTTGTAGCTGGCATGGCTGATCCATGTTTATTTAAAAGAGAAAGTAATGGTGTAATTTCATTGTTGCTATTATTTACTGATGACATAGCATTAATCACCAAAACTGAACAAGAAGCTACTGAGATAATGTCACTATTGGAAAAGAAATTTAAAATAAAAAAATTAGGATAAATCAAACATTATCTTGGTTTAAAGATAGACAGAACTCGGGGAAGATACAAGATCTCACAGGCAGATAAAATTAACCAATTACAAAAAAGTTTTAAAATGGAACTTTGTAAGCCAGCTAAGACACCAATGAGCCAGGAGTTTAGCCATAGTGATGTTCAAAGTCCTATTTTTGATAAGAACATTTATCAGTCCTTGATTGGTAGTTTATCTTATCTCAGTAATTGGTCAAGGCCAGATATTGCATAAAGTGTTAATCAATTAGCGAGATTTAACGCTGAGCCAAATGAAAGGCACTGGCAAGCTGCTAAACGTGTGTTAAGATATCTGAAACAAACAATGCATTATTCATTGTATTTGGAGCCTAAAGATGAACTGAATTTAACTGCATATGCTGATGCAAGTTTTGCTACAGACATAAATACACGGAAATCTACATCAGGTACTGTAGTATTATTGGGAAAAATCATTGATTGGATGGAGGTCTATTAGACAGAAACATCTAAGTTTGTCAGCAGTGGAGGCTGAATTCTCATGTTTGTCTTTATTATGTACAGATTTAATTTTCTATAAGCAATTATTAATTGATATGGGAATTGATGTAACAGATCCTATTGTTGTTTATGAAGATAATCAATCAGCAATACAGATGGCTTCAAATTTTGCTGTTAAGACAAGAACGAAACACACAGATTTAAGATATTTAAATGTGAGACAATGTGTGCAAAGTAAGATGATTAAGCTAGAATACTTTATGTCAGAAAACAATATAGCAGATCATTTTACAAAGGCCCAAGCATAAGGCTAGCTGTGAAGATTATGGACTTAGAATGTAAGGTTGTATATATTGTCTTACCCAAAAGGGAAAAATGTTAGGAATATAAGTCACCTAACAGGTATTTGGGTTAGAAATATATAAACCAGGATAAACATTTTAAAACTGTATCTTTAAGAAAATGCAAAACTGTAATTAGGTATGCTTTCTCAAACGGCCATAAGATGGAGCCAGAAACCTGGTTTGTCTGTCTTAAGTCTCAGAAGAGAGTGTGAGTCAGTTTCTCTTTCCTTCTGTTGGAAAGCATTGCTGTTCCTCCATTTTTCCTAATTGACTGATATTCATGGATTTGATGTAAATCTGATACTGAACTGTTTTTGACACTGGACTTCGTTATTGGATTATCCCTGGATTGAAAACTGACTGATTTACCTGTGAATGACTTTGGACTGTACTTTGAACTTTGCTTAAACTTTTATTGATAGTAAAATAAACCTACATTTACTGTACAGTGTATCTGTGTGCTGTGTGTGTATTATTCAAACACTTCTCTCAAATATATCTCCCTGTATGCGCTCATTCTCCTAACGGGAAATTACCTCAACAAGATTAGACAATCATTTGTCCGGAATGCTATAGACTAGAATCTCCTACTTGGGCATGGGGTTGGACTACAAGACTTACAAGATCCCTTCAAACTATTATTCTGTTATATAAAAAATATTTTGTACTTTTCTCTTTTTACAGTAACAACATGGAAAAAAAATTATTTTTTTCCAAAATTTTTCCCATTGTTTTGTTGTAATTGTTTCTTTAAAAATTGTCTCTATTTATCATACAATTGTTTACTTCTGTCAGGAGAGTGAACTAAAAGACTTCCAAAGTCCCTTTCAACTCTTGTTATTCTGTATTGTTTTATAGCACAAACACTGAAAGAACGCTAGCAGCGCTGATTTTAGTTGGATAATGGAACAGTAATATAGTTCTATATTACTTATAAAACTATCTAATTAAACTTTTTAAAATAGTAATTTCCTATCTATATAAAACCAGAATTACAGCAGAATCTTATAGCTGTATCAAATCTCATTCCTTCAGACTCAGGCATACCTCATATCTAACGCGGGAAAATATAGTTATACGTCACAATCACCTAAATATTTCGGCTTCCTATCCCTACATGTTAAGAAAAATCTTTATGGCATTATCTCCAGTCTCAAGAGATTTGCTTTTCCTTGGTGGATTAATTTTGAATCGATTTTTTTTTTCAAAATTGAAGTAGCAGTCACACAGAGAATTGTTATTTTTTTTGAGACGCACTCCACGTGACGTACAATCTCTGCGACCATGGCGCAATGTGTAATCGCGTTTTTTTACGTTGAGTATTGTGGCAGAGAAATCGGCAAAGGAACAAGGTTTTATTTTGCAGTCATGGCTTCTTCGACTTCGGGCCGAGGACAACGGCGATCTGTTGGTGCAATGGGACAAGAGGAGCTGCGGAGATTAATGCGAACCAAACAGCGCGAGTCGGCTGCGGGGAAAACGAAAATCGATTCGCCCTACGTTAGATATCCTACCTTTTCTTCGGGCGAGATGCCCCCCTTATTGCTACAGGGAGGTTTATTTTTAGTTTTGTATGTCTCGGTTGCTCACCGGAAGTGACAGTGAACTAAATCTCGCTCTTCGCTTCTTTTTTCTGTAGGGTAGGCATTTTAGTTTATTATCGCTATCCTGCATATTGTGGTTTGTTTAAATGTAGCAATTAATAGGGTGTTATACATGTTTGAAACAAAAATACAAAGACTCTACGCCAGAGTTTGCAATCTGATCAAAATGTATTTTCCTAAAGGAGTGGGTTAACTGGATGGAAAAACTTTTGCATTTCCTTTAAGCTCCTCTCTCTTAGTTCTTAAAGGACTTTTTTAGTTTGTCAATTGCTTACAACATAATAGGTATAAGTATAAACATAGTTATGAATACATGAAATGGATACATATACGAAAAATAAAAAGAAACAATAGCACAGGGATGGTAGCTTATGCACGCCCCCTACAGACCTCTTAGGAAAGGGGTGAGGTCAATAGTAGAAAGTCTAAGGTTAAAGTTTTTGGGGTTTGGGGAAAAAGCCATAGAGTCAGGTAGAATATTCCAGACTTACAGATGTTTACCTTTCTGCTACAACAAATCTGGCAGGATGTTTAGTATGCCATACTGAGGAAGAATAAAAGAATTTAGTAAAATATCTAAATGTAGCCTAGTTGCCAGTTTATATTCAAGTGAAGACCAGATTCCTCCAGCAATGAGTTTCCTCCATTCTGTACAGGTAATCCTTGACTTATGATTACAGTTGAGCCCAAAATTTGTTTTGCTGAGGGAGACATTTGTTAAGTGACTTTTGCCCCATTTTACTACCTTTCTTGCAACAGTTGTTAAATGAATTACTGTAATTGTTAAGTTAGCAATATGGTTATTAAGTGGATCTGGCTTCCCCATTGATTTTGCTTAGCAGAAGGTCACAAAAAGTGATTGCATGAGCACAGGATGCTGCAATAAATATGAGCCAGTTGACAAGCATCTGAATTTTGATCATGTGACCATGGGGATGCTGCAACAGTCATAAGTGTGACAGTCAAGTCATCAGTCACTTTTTCGGTGGTGTTGTAACTTCGAATGATCACCAAATGAACTGTCGTAAGTCAAAGACTAGCTGTATTGTTCAAATGTCAAGTCTTGTTTTTATTCACTGCATTTTTACTGGTAAAAGCAGTATTAGTATGTTTTGTTTCAGTAAAACATAATTAAAGTGATAACATTCAGGTTCGTGAGGGAATTTAAAGCCTGTGTTTAACAATGCTTACAAACCCTAACCCAAGCTGATTTTTAAAAAGAAAATATAATTCGTGACTTGATTGCTTTAGTTATCTTCATTTGGTTCTTCCCGAAGTTCAGTGAAAAAAATAGCAATTCAGGTACTATACTTCAAGTTTAGTCACAGAAAAATGTGTAGCTACATTGCAGTGGTAAGTTTTCAGAATAACCTTTAAAAGAATGTTGTAGTTTTGAGAGATTATTTTTGAATTTATTTTCTTAATTGCAAGACTACATATAACAGTTTGGGGAATTTAAGTTGCTCTCTGTGCAATGTGACTGTGAAGAGTGAACTGTTGTGGCAAACACATGCTCATGGAAAGCAGCATAAGGAGGTAAGAGAAGTTTAATGTATATCATACTGTAAGAATACATTAACTTTTCCCTTTTAATATATCTGATTTGGTTCCTCTAGCTGGTCTGTCATTTAATCAATATATTGTTAAAATAAGGGAAACAGTGCATCCACATGGACCAAGCTTTCTTGGCTATCTCGACAGTCCATTTAATCCAGCACATGCAGGAAAACTTATAGGACAACAATAAAATAAGGGTAAATTGTAGCCCCTTATGAAAATTGTCATAGAAAATAAATGAGACGAGGAGATCCACATCAATAACACTGCTTCCAACTGTAATTAATTCTGATACTTTGTATAACTTTTGGATGGGATTGGTTTTTGTACTGTTTGTATTTTTTTAATTTTGGAAAGGCAGAACCATAGGTTGGAGTAGAGTAGAATACAAGTAGTTTTTGAGTTGCAAAAGTAATGGAGGCTGCCAATTACATTTGTAACCCAAGGATTCATAGGAGTGAACTGCGTAACTTGACCGTGATCACTCCCTACTTTCGCACATGCATTTGCTAATCAAATGCACAGGTTATTAAGTGCACATGAGGTATCTCAGGGTGGGGGAAGGCCATGGGGTGCTTAGTGATGGAACAGGCCATCTGCTTCAGACCACCGAAGGCCTCCCCCCACCCACAGATACCTCATGGAATTGCTCCCCGCCATCCTGCCACGTCGGGGCTCCACAAACAGGCCTGTGGAGATTCCCTTCCCTTTCGAAGATCTAGCAAACTGTTTTATCTCCAGCCTCTCTTGTTTCTTTCCTTGTTTCCCAGTGGGCGGTGAGAGCAGAGGGAGAGCAGGATGAACACACCCTGCTCAACTTCTCTGACTCACTGAGGCTGCTTGCCACTTCTGGAGTGGTGGGAAGCTTTGGTGTGTCTCCTCCAAAGGCTCTCAGGTCGGCCGAAAAAGCGTTTGCATGCTGAAGTGGGGCTTTGGGGCAACGAAATTGCATTGCTTCAAGCCTCCTGGAAGCTTCTGAGTGCCCTGATCTTGTGGGACTTCAGGCATCCATTCTCTGCAAAAGCAGATGGGTGCCTGAAGTAGTAGTGTGAGACTATGGCCCTCAGAAGTTTCCAGTCTCCAAATGAAAAGTGTTTGAGTACCTATGGGGCGCTTAAAAACGGAGCAATATTGGGGAAAACTAGGGAAAATCACATTGAGCAATTTGCTTATGTGATTATCCGAGTGCTTGATGTTATTGTTTATATTCATCACTGTCTTGAATGAGACCAATGACTGTTGTATCATCTGCAAACTTCATTATTTTGTCAGAAGAATCCTTAGAAATGCAGTCATTGGTATATAGGGAGAAGAGCAATAGAAGGAACAAACAGGCCTGAGGGGTACCTGTACTAATTGTCCAGGTGCTTGACGTGATTTTCCCTGGTCTGTTGCTTGCTATTTGTCAAAAAGCTAGTAATGCACCTATAAGAATAGACAGGCACAACTAGCTGAATCAGTTTAGAGTGAAGAATTTCTGGAATTATGGTATTGAATGCTGAACTGATATCTATAGAAAGGACCTATGCATAAGTCCCTGTGGATTCAAAATGTTGCAAGATTGCAATGTCATATTGATATCATCTGACAGTCTATTTGTTTGATAGGCAAACTGCAAGGGTCTAACAGCAGATCTGTGATGATTTTCAGGTGGGCCAGTACTACTCAAAGATGTCAGAGCAATCAGTCTAACGTTATTCAGCTCCCTGATATAGTTTCTTGGAAACCAAGATGATAAGGGAAAGTTTGAAGATCATAAAGATCATAGATTTATTTTTATAATAAATGAAATTGATACATTTTCCTGTTGATGTTAGAACAGAAATATACAATTGATAGCAATGGAATAGTACAGGTAATCCTCAATTTACAACCATTTATTTAGTGACTGTTCACAACAGCATTGAAAAAAGTGACTTATGATCACTTTTCACACTTAATACTATTGCAGCATCTCTATGGCCATGTGATCAAAGTTAAGAAGCTTGGCAATTGATTCATACTTACGATGACTGCATTTCCCCTGTATGAAGTTATCAGTTTTGTGACCTTCTGACAAGCAAAGTCAATGGGGAAGGCAGAATCACTTAATAACCATGTTACTAATTTAATGATTGGAATGATTCACTTAACCACTGTGTCTAGAAAGCTCATAAAATGGGGCAAAACTCACTTAATAACTGTCTCATTTAGTAATGGAAATGTTGGACTCAATTGTGATTGTAAGTCGAGGACTACCTGAATTTTAAAATATGATTTAATGCTATATTGAGTATAAATTTGTTCTTGAAAATGGAAAACAGATAACCCATTTTCCTAATTGTTTTATATAAATACAATCATGTGAAAAAGAAAGCACACTCATTGTGTTCTATGGTTTTACACGCTAGGACATGGTAAAAATCATCTGGTTCTTAGCAGTTCTTAAAAGAATCAATCACAATAAATCAGAACAGAGATAAAAGAGACTTTGGAGGTCTTCTAATCCAACCCCTTTCTCAAGCAGGAGACCCTATACCATTTCAAACAAATGGCTGTCCAATCTTTTCTAAATACCTCCATTGATGAAGCATCTACAACTTCTGAAGGCAAGCTGGTTAATTATCCTCATTGTTAGGAAATTTCTCCTTAATTCCAGGTTGCTTCTCTCCTTGATTAGTTTCCATCCATTGTATCTTATCCTGCCCTCTGGTACTTCAGAAAATAAGTTGACTCCCTTTATTTACTTTACCCTGACTCCCTCCTTTTTCTGGCAACCTCTCAAGTACTGGAATACTGCTATCATGTCCCTCTTGTCCTTTTTCTCTTTACTAGCCAAACCCAAATCCTGCAACTATTCTTCATATGTTTTAATCTGAAGGCCTTTGATTATCTTAGTTGTTCTTCTTTGCACTTTTTCCAAAGACTCAAAATCTTTTTTGTAGTGTGGTGATCAAAACTGAATGCAGAGTTCTGGGTGTAGCCTTACTAAGGCTTTATGAAGCGGTACTACTACTTCACATGATTTTTGTTCTATTTTTCTACAATCAAGGATGGTATTAGCTTTTTTTAGTTGCTGCCACACACTGCTGGGCCATATTTAAGTGATCGTCCACTAGGACACCAAGATCCCTCTCACAGTTACTACTTTTGAGCCAGCTTTTCCCTAATTTGTACTTATACCTTTGTTTTTTTCCCTACCTAAGTGTAAAAACTTTGCTTTTCTCCACATTAAATTTCATCTTATTGGATAGGGCCCATTGTTCATGTCTGTCAAGATCTTTTTGAATCCTGAGTTTGTCATCTGGTATGTTGGCTATTCCGGCCAGCTTAGTGTCCTCAGTAAATTTGATGAGTTGTTCTTCTATTTCCTCATCTAAGTCATTTATGAAGATATTGAAGAGTTCCAGGCAGGGATGGGATGCTACCAGTTCTGCCCGGTTCTATAGAGCCAGTAGCTCTGAAGAGCAGCAGACACAACTGGTTCTGGGTTTGCTGCTGTTTGGCCCATCTGCCCGCCTGGGCTCTTACTTGTTCTTTATTTTCTGCTTTTTCAACCTCAGCTGCTTTGCGTGGCACAGCTGAGGTTGAAAAAGCAGGGAAAAAGAGACTTTTTGAATGCTGCGCACCTGCGCACAGTGCTTTTCAGCTGCCCAGGAAGCATAGCCTAAGGTTATTTTACGCAGTAATCACCGAACCGGTAGTAATGCTGGTTGAATCCCACCCCTGGTTCCAGGCCTAAGATGGAACCAACTGCTTACTTCTGTCCATGTAGATGTTGTTTCATTAAGGACGACTTGTTGAGTATGATTTGTCAGCCAGTTACAAATTTATCTGGTGGTGATGCTGTCTATCCCACATTTTTCTAGCTTACCAGGAATTAGGTTGTTAAAATCAGATGGGTGTTCTCAAACCATTTCCTTGCTTATTTTTATTTTTATTTCTAGTCTATCTTTTACGGTTATGTTTTTGGTAGGTTGGGCTGCAGTTTCTTTTTGCATGAAGAGTGATGTAAAAAATGAATTAAGCAGTTCTGCTCTCTCTCTGTTTCTTCCTTGCCATCTTTTCCCTTAAGTGGACCTATTATTTCCTTGACTTTTTTCTTGTCATTTATATGTGGAAAGAAACTTTTCTAATTATGTTTGATTTTTGTTGCAAGTCTTTGTTCATTCTGAGCCTTTCCTTTCCTGACTTCATCTTTGCAGATTAGGGCTATCTGCAGATACTCTGATTTTCTCTTTCCATTTTTTTAATTTGTCCTTTTTGTCTTTCAGTTTATCAGAGAGATCTTTGTGCAACTATACTGGTTTCTTCTTGGATTTTTTTTCAATTAAAATTTTTTATTTTTATATTACAACCTATAAAAAAAATTCAATTTCAATTGAACAGTGTGTTGCCTGGGTACGTGTTATTTTAGAAAATAATCATCAAAATTTTACAGCAATAGTCATTACATTGATATTAATTCTATAGTAATAATATTTGTTTATCCATTTTAACATAACTCTCTTATAACATTACTTTTTATATTTCCATGTTTTCAACTTCTATTTCTATTAGCCAACCATTGATAAAACAGGTCCCATGTCAAAAAATATTCAGTTTCCTCCTTTTCCTTAACTGTCAATATTAGTCTATCATCTCTGCACATTCTAATATTTTTTAAATTACATTTTCATCTGTTGGGATTTCTTCACTTTTCCAGTGTTGTACAAATACAATTCTAGCTGCAGTTAATACATGTAAGATCGAATATATTTTCCCTCTATTATATTTTTCCAGTAGGATGCCCAGCAAAAATCTTTCAGGTTTCAGATTTTATTTTGTCATTTTTTCCAACCATGTATGTATTTTTGTCCAATATCATTTTGTTTTGGGGCATGTCCACCACCTATGATAATACAAACCAGGTGACTGATTACATTTCCAACATTTAGCGGACATATCCTTAAAAATCCTTACCAACCTTGTTGGTGGGATAGGTTTTAATACTTAATAAACAGTTATACAGTTTCCTTATTAGTTTTTTTTATCTGTCCCTGTTAGTATTTGATCTTAATTTTGTTGGTTCTTTATACAAAATGTACATTTTGGCATCTTTTTCATATTGAGATTGTATCTGCACTTGTGGCCCCCATGTTATATCAATCCCTTGATTATTCAGTTTTTGCTTAGTTTTAAATTCCCCCTTTTCATTCAAAATATCTCTATATCTTGTAATTTTTTCCATATTGATAATATTTGGATGTATCAAATCTGCCATTGTGGAGAGCCAGACTGGTATTTTCAAATAGTGTTGTTCTTTAATTTTTGCCCAAGCTATTATTAATACATTTCTAATCTGGTGTCTTTGGAAATATCTGTGCATTTTGTTTTTCTAATATCAAAGAAAAGCATCCCAACCCAACTGGAGATCATGTCCCTCTAAAGTTAATAGCCTTTTATATCTCAAATTAATACAATTTCACCCAAGTACCGAGGCCTGATAGTACAACTCCCAGTCTGGCAACCAAAAGCCCCCTTGTGGAGTACTATAAAGCCATTACCATGGCAACTCCACTGTGCTATACAGTAGAAGTCATTTTAAGGCATAACAGGCTGTATCTTAACAGAACTTGAATCCAAAATGCACATTATCACTGTCAAAAGTACTGTGATTTGACACTATAGATATAATTCATTTCTTTTCATTTCAGCGGCCCAGGCATTCCAGAGTTATGCTGGAACACAAACACACACACACACACACACACCAAGGGGTGTTGGGGGCATCTTATCTCCACAGTATTTCTTTCCAGAGGGTAAGACATCTGTGTACCACATTTGGTTGAAATTGCTTGAGGCTTTCCAGAGTTATGCTGGAACACACATACATACAGCCATTTTTTTATATATATAAATATATATATCTTGTAATTTTTGCATATTGATAATATTTGGATGTATCAAATCCTCCATTGTTTTTTTAATAGTTTGTATCTTCCATTACTACATTCCAGTCATGACTTTCATATCCATGTTTCATTAATGGCAACTGTAACATTTCTACCTTCATGTACTAGTACTTCAAGTTCATCCTGTTTGTTCCCTAAAGTTTGAGTGTTTGTGTATGTGTCTTGGGTATATTTCTTACATCTTATATCCTACTTTGAAACTTTTCCATCCTTTCCATCAGTCTCTGCTTCATTGTGTTTTTCCCCCTTTTTCCTTCTTTCTCTTTAATCCCTTTAATTCTCTTTAATTAATTGATTATTTAGTGATTTTTGTTTGGAATTAGGTTCTAAGGGTGTTGAAGACTTTCCCCTCTATTTTAGTTTAAAACCCTTCTGATATGATGAGCCAGTCATTTTCTGAATATATTCTTTGCTGTTCTTGTGTATTTACTCCATTCCTTGCCAGTAGTGCTTCATGTAGATAGTGCAGACCAGAAAAGTCATAAAACTTCAGTTTTAGATATAGTTACATTTGCTGATGATCACTTGATCATCAGTATTTGATTAGCAGCATCTGGCTGTTATTTGGCCTCTTCATACCAATGGAAATAGTAAGAGTGTACTTAGTTTTTCACATGTGGATTTGGGCTTTCTTTTTGTAAAATTTTGGCTTTTTTTTTGTAAAATAAATATCATGGTGTAATATATGTATTGTTGCTCATCTGAAGTTGTATTTTCCTGTTTTTAAGAACTGCTAAGGACCAGCTAATTTTTACTATGTTCTAATATATAAATCCATAGAACTCAAAGAGAGTCCACTTTCTTTTTAACATAACCGTATAAGGTGTTTTCAATTGTACTTTTTCCTTCTTCGTATTAGTATTTCTGCTATGATTTGGAGCCCTGGAAATAATCCTCAGCTGTTTCATTTGCTGATTTAATTTTTTTTTCTAGAGACTTGAATCATTAAAAAATATTAAGCATTCTACACCAAAATCATTTCCTGAAACTTCATCTTCTCTCAAAAGAAAATTGCCAGAAACAAGAATTCTAGATCAAAAGAAAGGGCAAGGTATGGAAAATTATTTTGTGCTTGCTATAATTTGATTTGTAGCTTTTAAACTCTATCAGACAGTTAAAGTCTGCATTCAAGTTTGACTTTATTTATAAAATTTCTTGTGTACTGATTAAGGTCCAGCTAGTTAGATTGTAGAATGAAACTATGTTTTACGGACTCAATATTGTCATTTCTGGAATTTCTAATTTGTATTTAGGGGGTAGACAAGGCCTTCTCTATAGGTTCCTGCAGGCCCTCCTCTTGTTATAGGCTGGTAATTAATTATTAAATGTTGTGAGGTGGCCTCTTGAGAAAAGTGTAACCCCACTGCCTCTTTCAGGATAGGCGGTACTATCCTTCCAGCAAAGAAGCATTAATCACATACAACTTTTTAGGCATGGGCCCAGTACCATGCTTACAGCCCTAGGTGCCTTATCCACTTTCTCAAGAGCAACTTGCTTGAACTCCTGCTAGGTAAACAAGGTTTAGGTGTGACTCTGTCACCTCTATAGAGTCTGGCCAGTCAGAGTCCAGCTCTAAGCAAAGTTGAGCAATGTTGCCTCATAAATACTGGGAATATTTCTCACAGTGACACTGCAAAGACCCATTGGGTGCATCAAGTGCATGGAGTGGGCTGATTAAATAGGCTCTACAGATAATCTTCAACTTAACAATGATATTGGAGCCTGGAATTTCCATTGTAATACTCATGACATGGTAAGCCAAGGCACTCATTAACCAAATCATAAAGATTTTTTAACTTTTTTTGTGGCAGTCATTAAATGAATGTAGTGATCATGAAGCAAATTAACATATGCCTATGCATGTTTTTTTTTCTGAAACCAGCCAAAAAGACTGGAAACAGACAAAAAACATTGTGAAATGTGTTTTCATGCTGCAGAACACTGAAATTAGCCATAAAAGTAAATTGATTGCTAAGTGCCTCAAAAGTGGTAATATGACTGTGGGAATGTGCAGCAATTGGAACTCTGAAACTGGGTTGTAAATAGGTTTTGGATCTGTCCTAACTTTGGATGGTCACTAAATGACCAATCATTAAATAAGAACTACCTGTATCTCCTGCAGTAAGGTATGGTTTGTGAAAAACTTAAGGCCAGGAAAGAATGGTCTGTCTGTGGCAGGGGATTGATATTAATGTCTCCTAAATTCAAATCATGACATTGCGTGGAGGCGAATACCAGATCTAATGTATACCCACCTCCATGTAAGTACAGCTATGAATGAGTTGGGCTAGGTACATAGCTGCATTGGTGGCCAGGAACTCCTGCACTGCCTCCAAGTGGACCGAGGTAGATCTCAGATATCTTAAGAGCTCTTGCATATAGAAGGGAGTATATTTATTTATTTTTATTTATTTATTTGATTTGTCAATCGCTTACAAGATAATAGGTATAAGTATATACATAGTTATGAATACATGAAATGGGTACATATAAGAAAAATAAAGAAACAATAGGACAGGGATGGTAGGCACGTTGGTGCGCTTATGGATGCCCCCTACAAACCTCTTAGGAAAGGGGTGAGGTCAATAGTAAACAGTCTAAGGTGAAAGTTTTTGGGGCTTGGGAAAGAAACCCCAGAGTCAGGTAGAGTATTCCAGACATTGACCACTCTGTTGCTGAAGTCGTATTTCCTGCAATCAAGGTTGGTGCGGTTAACCTTGAGTTTGTCTCTATTGTGTGCTCTTGTATTGTTATGGTTGAGGCTGAAGTATTCATTGACTGGTAAGTCATTGCAATGTATGATTTTATATACCATACTTAGATCAGACCGAAGACAGCGTAGTTCTAGGTTTTCTAGGTCTAGAATTTCAAGTCTGGTGGCATAAGGTATTCTACAATGAGTAGAGGAGTGGAGAACTCTTCTTGTGAAATATTTCTCAACTGTGCTAATATCAGATACGTAATGTGGGTTCCAGACTGATGAGCTGTATTCGAGCATTGGTCTAGCAAATGTTTTGTATGCTCTAGTTAGTAGTGTGATATTACCAGAGAAAAAGCTACGTAGGATTAGGTTAACAACACTTAATGCCTTTTGGCTATCTAGCACTTAGATCATTAGAGATGAGTATTCCAAGGTCCTTTACAGAGCTTGTATCATCAACAAGGTCTTGACTATTCAGCTTGTATTTTATTTTCTGATGTTTTTTGCCAATATGTAAGACAGAGCATTTATTTGTTGAGATTTGAAGTTGCCATTTGTTTGGCCATTCTGATACATAATCAAGATCTTTTTGAAGAGTAGCAGTATTGTCTGTGGTATTGAACAGCTTTACATCATCAGCAAAGAGAACACAGTTGCTCTTAATATGATCACAGAGGTCATTTATGTAGAGTATGAAGAGAGTTGGTCCTAGAATACTACCTTGGGGGACACCACTATTGACAGGTACAGAATTTGATAGGACACTCCCAATTTTGACCATTTGTTGTCTGTTTGACATGAATGGTTCTATCCAGTTATGCAATTGTCCAGAGATTCCGTAAGATTTTAGTTTTAGGAGTAGTTTGTCATGTAACACTGAATCAAAGGCTTTACAGAAGTCTATGTAGATTGTGTCTATTGTTTTGCCCAGATCGAGTTGTGTAGTCCATATGTTTTGCAGTCTAAGAGTTGCAGATCGCAGGATAGTTTTTTTCTGAAACCCAATTGTTTATTGGACAGTAGGTTGTTTGTATCTAAGTGGAGGATAATGGATTGGTTACTAATTGATTCCATGACTTTACAGGTGACGCAGCATAAGGAGATTGGTCTGTAATTTTCAACTAGGCTGGGGTCTCCCTTTTTGAAGATGGGGATGACCGTGGCTTGTGACTATAGGTTAGGCAAGAGCTGGTCCTGAAAGATTTTTCAAAGATTATGCTTAGAGGTTAGGCTATGGCAGTGGATAGCTTTTTAAAGAAGTAGGCACATATTCCATCCACTCCAATAGATAGAGATGGCCTCCCTTGCCCTGAAGGACAGGAACAAACTTGATGAACTAAAACTATATAGAAGTAGCTTCAGATTGAATATTAGGAGGAATTTCCTGACAGTAAAAATCTGTCAGCCAGGAACTTGGTATGTGCTCTTTCACTGAAGGTCTTCTAAGAGAAGCTGGATTTGTCTAAAATCCTTGAATATGTTGAGCAGGAGGATAGGCAAGAGAGGCTCTGTTGAACCTCAGGAACTTAATTGCTTGCTGCAGTATGCAGTCCTCTCACTCCAGGTCACCTGCAGTCAATTCTTCCTCCAGTTCCTACAGCTCCACTTGTATCTTTCACTAGTGGCTGCCACGGCCCCCACAGATGATTATCATCCCTATGGATTTCCCCACTCTCCCTTTTTTCCAACCTGAGAGACCACCGAGGCCTTGGTGGGTTATCCTCTTCCAGCCCTCAGATAGGTCCAGCCCTTCAGGACAGGGTTTCAAGGATGCCTTCCCCTAGGCTTTGATCTTTTCCTGGTCACTCCTTTGAGCCTACATGTCTTGCGTGGTCCCCACAGTAGAGGCAATTTCCTCTCCAGGTTGATTACAACTGCAGAACTACCTTAATGTTGGACCTGACTAAATCTGATGCCTTAGGAAAGAAATACTCTTGACTCCATTTGATTAAAGCAAGATTTATTTTTTTTACTAAAGTTGTTGACTGTAGTAAGGTCAGACTAGCTCTGAATTTTGCCATATACAAAAGATACAGAAAGATTCACCCAAAGCCTATATCTTCCACTGCGACCAGTCCATTTCCAGCCAATTGGAGCTTACCAAAATGTTTTTAGAACACTGAGTTGTTTGGGATAATCTGCATTTTTTCTCAGGGTGCCTTGCCTTGGGATGCTGTACAAACTGGGTCTGGGCTGCTCTGGTCTTTTATCACCTGTCATTCATTCTCCTCCTACCCACCCCCAATTTCCCATCACATAGAGACAACTCTTTACATTTTCCCTCCTACCTTTCTAGTCTTTGATGGTAGGATACCTGTGAGGCGCCAAGCCGAACTAGACAGAGCTGACAGCCAGGTAGTTGACTTTAGATCAGTCACTCTACCTTTTCTCAACCCACTCATAGGCTAGTTGTTATGGGGAAAAATAGGAGTTGGCAGCATTAACTATACCATCTCTGAGTTGATAAAAAATAAGGATGAGATAAAACCTTATGTAATATATACAAAACTACTGTTGATATAAATCTGATTCATGTCTTTGTTTTCAGATTGTAATGACCATCCACAAGCAGTTTCTTCTAGGTAAGCTGTTACCCCTTTTTGCATTTCCCTCTTCTCTTCATAGGTAAAGATATAAAATAGAATTTGCTTTCTATATTTTTTGTACAAAATTACAAAATAAGGTTTTTGTACAAAATTATGCAGAGGAAATGGCTCTAAGTTAAGTTTCGGTGTAACAAACTAGCAGGTTTGTTAACTTCTATTGCTAATTTCAGTTTTCTGCAGATGTTTAAAACATAATGCTGTTATATTAAGGAGTCTTGTTCTAAACAGTTTGCTATTTTGTGCCATAAAATCAATGAAAAATGGCAAAGCTTTAGGAAATGACTGTGTTATGGTTGAAATGCTGAAAACTGGTGATCACAGATTATGCAAGATATTAAGAAAACTATATTCAAGATGCTTCAGAGAAGAAAAAAATACCTGACACATGGAAAAGTGCTGAAGTGATTCTTATACGTAAGAAGGGGACCCAAGATGATTTAAAGAAATTGTCCAATAAGCCTTTTTTCAGTCATCTACAAGGTTTTCACCAACATAATAGCAAAAAGAACATTGAAAATATTAAATGATGTACAGTCAAAGGAATAGGCAGGGTTCAGAAGTGGTTATAACACAATTGATCACATCCAGATTGTTCCGTAAGTCATTGAAAGGCGCAATGAGTACACAATGCCTGTGTGCATGGTTTCATTGACTACAAAAAGGTATTGGACTCAGTATTCCTACAAGCAATAATGAATGCATTGCTCAACCAAGACGTAGAGACTGCTTACATAAACTTATTACAGTCAATATATGAAAAAACAAGCCAACTATTTGCCTTAATTATCTTAAAAGTGGACATAGAACGAAGTCAACATAGAACAAAATGTATGATGAGGCTGCTGGCTGCTTGTGAAGGAAGCAAAGGGTGAGTAGAAAAGAGAGAGGCAGTTTGAATTGTTTCCATTGCATTTCAAATTCCCAGAGGTTGTGGGAGGAGCTGCTGACTGCTTGTGAAGGAAGCAGAGGGTGAGTAGAAAGGAGAAAGATAGCCCATGCACCTAACGGCGCGTGAATCACATAACTATAAACCAAGAATACCAATAAGACATTTAGGGTAAGTGCACTTGAGATTGTGATTTTATTTTGTTTCAAAATGACCGGCTTAGTTCAGTGTAATACTTGTTTTACTGCTGTCTTTCGCAGTACTCTTTTCAAACTTGGATACTCTTTGTAAAAAAGTTACCAGTCTACATGGACAGATTACCTATCTAGAATCTCTAATCTAGCAGAAATTAGGTGCCCAATCCAGCCATCTATTGAGCTGCCGTGCTACCAGCCCCCACTATCACAAAGATCCTACAGGAAAAGGGCAGTATGGACAACCGTGGGATCTGGCAAGGTGAGAGCTGTGGACTATAAACACAAAGCTTTTGCCGTGTCCCAGCCTAACAGATGCAGTACCCGTGCTGACCTTAATAGGGACACTAAAGTGACAGGTCAAGGTAGTTGTGATAATGATAAGTAAGCTGGGAATCATGGTCCTAGAAGAACTTACTTTGGAAAGGAGAAAGTGTGAGTTAGGTATTACGTACCAGTCACACAAGAAGAATAAGACATCCAAAAAGAGAAGCCACCTTCTGGTTGGGGACTCAGTTGTAAGGGATGTAAATTTAGGAAAGGATACTGAAGTTTTGAAAGAGGTCAGGTGTCTACCAGAGACAAGAAATGTATTCTTAAGATAGTCAAGAATGCCAGCAAGGACTGTGATGTTGATGCTATTATACCTCTTGGTACAAACGATCTATCCCAGAAGGATGTACTTTCTGTTCAGAAATGGGGTATAAACTTAATATGGGCTGTAGGCTTATCTTTTCGGAGGTTCTACCAGTATACAAGGAAGAAAAAGAGAAAGGGCAGCATGTAGCAGAGTTTAATGTGTGGCTAAAGGAGTGGTGTAAAAGAGAAGGTTTGGGTTTTATTAGTCATGTCTGCAGCTGGCCCAATGAAAAACTGTACAAAAGAGATGATTTGCATCCATCAAAGAAAGGGACTGAGTTACCTGGCATTAAATTCACAGATTTCCTGGATAAACATTTAAACTGAACAGCGGGGACAGATAATTAATCGATTCAGAACATTTCTGTCCCCAGCAACCTAAAACTAATAAGGATACCAATGCATGCAAAATTGATGTTTGTACAGGTAAGATTATCAACCTTGATGCCAACCAAAACCAAGCATTTAATAGTGAGTGCCATACCATGTGCACTAATCAAACAGGTGGCAAGAAAGTAGGGGCAGACAGGCACAACACAGGTTATGTAGACAGTAAATACAGTGTCAGACATAAAGATCTCAAGTGCCTATATACAAATGCACAAAGTCTGGGGAAGAAACAGGGTGAACTCAAACTATGAATACATGAAGGTAAATATGATATAGTTGGAATAACAGAAACTTGGTGGGATGAAACCCATGACTGGAACATACTGGTAGAAGGATACAAACTATTAAAAAACCCCAGACCCCATAAAAGGTGGAGTTGCACTGTATGTAAAGGACTACAGAAATGCATGAAACCAAAGATGAAAACCTCCTAGAATGCATATGGGTCAATATAAAAGAAAAAAAGAGTAACATGGCCATAGGTGTATTTTATAGGCCACCCAATCAAGCAGAAAAAATAGATGTCCTTTTTGCCAGCCAACTGATAAACATATGCAGGAAACACACAACAATAGTAATGGGAGACTTCAATTATCCTGATATCAATTGGAAAACTAATTCTGCACCAAGTGAGAAATCAAATGTTCCTAACCAACCTAGCTGACAACTTTGTTGTCCCAAAGGTAGAGGATGAAACTAGAGGGACAGCCATACTGGACTTAATTCTTACAAACAGAGAAGAAGTGATAGAGAGAGTTGAAACTGCAGGAACTTTGGGTGAGAGTGACGATATCATACTAGAATTCAACATAACACAAACACAAACAACAGAACATAATGACCCCAGAGTCTTGGATTTTAAAAGAGCTGATTTCAATAAACTCAGAGAGAACTTGGGAAAGATTCCATGGATGAAAATCCTAAAAGGGAAAACAACTCAAGAATCTTGGGAAACTCTAAAAAGTATGATCATAGAAGCCCAGACCAGCACAATACCACTGAGAAAGAAAAACAAGAAATCCAAGAAGAAACCAGCATGGCTGCACAAAGATCTCTCTGGCAAATTGAAAGAAAAAAAGGACAAGTACAAAAAATGGAAAGAAGGACATATAAATAAGGCAGAATATCAGCAGATAGCCAGAATCTGCAAAGACGAAGTCAGGATAGCAAAGGCTCAGAACAAACAAAGACTTGGAACAAAAGTCAAAGATAATAAAAAAACTTTCTTCCAACATATAACTAACAAGAAAAAAATCAAGGAAACAGTTGTTCCACTAAAGAGAGAAGATGGCAAGGAAGTAACAGGCAACAGAGAGAAAGCAGAACTGCTTAACTTGTTCTTTGCATCCCATCTGCATGCAAAAAGAAACTATAGCTCAACCCACCAAAAACATAACTGTAAAAGACAGACCAGAAATAAAAGTTAAAATAAGCAAAAAAAAAATAGTATCTGATCTTGATGAAAACAAATCACCGGGGCCTGATGGATTAAATCCCAGAGTTTTAAAGGAGCTGGTAGAGGTCATCTCAGAACCACTGCTCCATATCTTTCAAAAATCCTGGAGCACCGGGGAACTACCAGAGGACTGGAAAAGAGCTGATGTGGTTCCCATCTTCAAAAAAGGAAAAAAAACAGACCCAGGAAACTATAGACCAATCAGCCTAACATCAATACCTGGGAAGATACTGGAAAAGATAATAAAAAAACAGATCTGCCAACATCTAGAAACAAGTAAGGTAATAACTAGCAGTCAGCATGGGTTTCTTAAAAACAGATCACACCAAATCAATCTTATTTCATTCTTCAACACAGTGACTAAATTAGTAGACCAGCAAAATACTGTGGATTTAGATTTCAGCAAGGCATTCGACAAAAAGTACACCACAACCTACTTCTTAGTAAGCTAGAAAAAAGTGGAATAGATAGCACCACCACTAGATGGACTCGCAACTGACTGGCAAACCATACTCAACGAATAGTCCTTAATGGGTCTAAGTCTACATGGAGGGAAGTAAGCAGTGGGGTACCACAAGGTTCCGTCTTAAGCCCAGTACTCTTCAATGTCTTCATTAATGACTTAGAAATAGAAAGAAATAGAAGGGGACCTTACCAAATTTGCAGATGATACTAAGCTGGCGGGAATAGCTAACACCCAAGAAGATAGGCTCAAGATCCAGATGGATCTTGACAGACTAGAACACTGGGCCGTATCTAAGAGAAAAGTAAAGTCCTACACTTAGGCAAGAAAAACCAAAAGTACGCATATAGACTGGGTGAAACCAGGCTCAATAGCAGTAACTGTGAGAGGGATCTTGGAGTCTTTGTGGACAACCAGCTAAATATGAGCTAGCAGGGTGCAGCAGCAGCCAAAAAAGCTAATGCAATCCTAAATTGTATTAACAGATGGATACAATCAAGATCAAGGGAAATACTAATACCACTCTATAAAGCCTTAGTAAGACCACACCTAGAGTACTGCTCCAGTTTTGTTCACCACATTATAAAAAAGATATTGAGACTCTAGAAAGAGTACAGAGAAGAGCAACCAGGATGATTAGGGGACTGGAGGCTAAAACGTACAACGGTTGCAGGAACTGGGCTTGGCTAGTCTAGTAAAGAGAAGGACCAGGGGAGACCATCAGTCTTCCAATATTTGTGGGGCTGCCACAGGGAGGAAGGGGTCAAGCTATTTTCTAAAGCACCTGTAGGCCAGATAAGGAATAATGGATGGAAACTGAACAAGGAGAAATTTAAACTGGAAATAAGGAGAAACTTTCTGACAGTGACAATCAACCAATGGAACAGCTTGCTCTCGGAAGTTGTGGGGGCGCCATCACTTGAGACTTTCAAGAAGAGATTGGACTGCCATTTGTCAGAAATGGTGTAGGGTCTCCCACTTGGGTGAGGGGTTGGACTAGATGATCTACAAGGTCCCTTCCAACTCTGATTATCTGTTATCTGTTAAATCTGTTAAATAAAATATCATTTATCCTTTCATCAGCCTGCCTTGAAAAAGTATTTTGCAAACTGGATTGGGCAAAAGATGGAATAAAAATCAGTGATACTTATTTAAATCACTTAAGATTTGCAGATGACATTGTTCTCTTCTCACAAGTCCCAGAAAAGTTACAAAGACACGTACAAAAGCTGAACAAAGTACGAGAACTATTTGCCTTAAAAATAAACCTGAAAAAGAGCCAGGTCATGTTTAATAAATTCACCAAAGTAAGAATAATAGTTATCTGGAGAAGATCTAGGTATAATAGATCATTATACATATGTTGGCCAACAAATCTCAAAGGAAGGTGATACAATAAAGGAAATGGAATGGCGTGTTAAATGTGGTTGGCAGGCATTTGGCAAGCTAAGCATTTTTAAGAACAACCTCCCTAATGCCTGAAAAAGGATCAGTGTATGCTATAGACCTGTTCTGTATGCCAGTGAAACATGGACACTAACCTCACAATTCATATAAAAGCTATGAGTGGCACAAAGAGCCATAGAAAGCTAGATGCTCAGCATCACAAAACAAGATAGAAAGACCTATACATGGATTAGAGCAGTGGCCCCCAACCTTTTTTGTGCCACCGCCCGGTACCGGCATCATGAAATGATCCACGGCCCGGTACCGGCATCAGCACTCATGGCAAGGCGAGCCGAGCGACTGGCTAGCCAGCCGTCTCCCGCTTCTCCCTGTCACCTTCAACTCCTCCTTTGTACCTTTGTCGATGGGCTTCGGGACAGCTTCGGGACGGTCGCTCGGCTCGCCTTGCCTTGGGTGCTGAAAGAATCCTCGAGCCTTAGTTTTGTTCGAAGCCGCCCCCCCCCCTTCGATGAAACTAAGGCGCGAGGATTCCTTCAGGACCCAAACGCCGCTTTCCAACCAGAAAAGCTCACCGGAAGCACTGTCTCATCAAAACAAGATGGCAGTGCCCAGCAAACCGGCGGCCCGGTAGAAAATGTTCCACGGACCGGTCCCGGTCTGGGGCCCGGTGATTGGGGACCCCTGGATTAGAGAACAAACAAAGGTATACAATATCATCAAGAGAGTAAAAGAATTGAAATGGAAATAGGCTGGTGACATAGCTGATAAGTGGGCAAGATGGATTGACGACATCAAGGATTGTGGGACCAACCGGCAAAAGAAAGCTCAAGACTGTATTGGTTAAAAACATGCAGAAGAGGCCATCCTTCAGTGGATAGACAATGATTATGATGATGATGAGTTTTCTGCTTGGATTTAAAGACTCTAGAATAGTATTCTATAATCTCTGTTACAATAAAATTTTGCACAGTATTCTATAACAGGTCGCCAACCTTTTGGACTTCAGGGACCACCATTGCTACAAACTGCAACAGAATATTAATGTTATTCCTGTATAGTAAATTTGCATGAGAACTGAGACACTATAGATCAAACAGTTGGCTTTTTGAACATTATGAATTGCATGCAAAAACAGTGAATGATTGATTCAACATGCATTGTTATAGACAAACCATTTTTGCAGCAGCCTTGTGATCATAGTAATACATTTTTAAAATAGAAGTTTAAAAACTAGTTGAGTTGATTGCCTGAATTCTGATTTGTATTGTGACTGCATTTTAAAAAGTTTGCCTTTCTTTTTTAGGTTGCCAAAAGATTTTTTTGACAAAACTGAGCAAACAGAAGTAGAAATAATATCTTCAAAAGGTTCAAGTGCTATCTTACTAGGAAATCATAAATCAGAGGAAGGAAAGAAAGAGATGACAAAAGACAGTAGAGAGAAGGATGGCAAAACTTCATTGCCAATCACAGCTCAGCATGAATTATCTTCAGATCTTGTTCCAAAATCAGAACTTGTGGCCTGCTCATCAACAGGTAAGATTAGGATTTTTAGATCCATCAAATAACTATACAAAAGAAAATCCCATTTAGTTTCATTTTTATTTACTATCGTAGCACAGGTTATTGTTTAGCTAAATAATAGAAATAAAGGATTTCCTTATCCTTCCTTTTCACTGTTTCTCAGATCAACCTTGAAGCAGTCCTCAACTGGCAGTAACAGCATAGTCCAATGTCATCAGTTAATGGTATTCCACAAGCATCACTCATTGAGATGGAAGGTGACAGGTTTTGCTGCCTTCTCTCTTAGATTGGCCTTGACTTCAGGTTCTTTCACTAAGTATTTTCAGCAGTATCATGGTTGCAGGATGCAGGGAGAAAGAATTAGTGTTCTGCATAATGTTTAAACAAGCTGGATTTCTTATTTTTTCCACATCATGCCCTGGTGTTTGTGTCTAAGCAGGCTCAGCTCTTTCCATGTCAAAAGCTGAACATGACCGACATGACAGATAAGATGTTCATGGGTATGAACTAATAGTAGACCCATAATATGAGAGTCAGTCTAGAGCAATTTATTATCATTCTAGCTAGTGCTAACATGGTCGAGCAGGAGGAGATTAAGCCTGCAGATATAGTTCAATTTACTTCAACAGTGGATCTCTTGGAATGTCTCCATAAATGGTCACTTGGGCAAAGGAAGTAAATATTGAAATGAATAATTAAAATACTGTATTGCAAGAATAGAATAGTTCACTTGTGCAAAGATGGCATTTATTGTCATTTGGTAACATCACAGTTTGCTATGGGTGCTGTTCTTTCCGCCTACACTTGTTCAAACTGCATTAATTTAATCTCAATCTCAAACTAGAATTTCTTGTTCAGTTCATTCTAAATTTGATCCATAGGTGTCGATTTACATGGAAAGAATTGTAAACCAATGTTTTTCAGTTTATTCCCTGTACCATTCATTCATTCATTCTCTCTCTCTCTCTCTCTCACACACACACACAAAATCACATATTTTAGGCTGTGCTTAAGTATAATCTTGTGTTTTTTAGACTATTTGGAGAACAGTACTTTAGCTACTCCTCAGTTATCCCATTCAGAATCTGTACAGAAGGCAGAACCGCAAGAAAAAAATCATCAAAGGTCAAGTATCTTTAAATCAAAAATTGCCTAATATTTTAATCTGAATTATTTTGCCCCCTTAATTAGAATTAAATATGGACAAATACATTTAATTATTATCGGAAAATTATTTATAGCATTATATGTAGCTTTTGTTTAATGACTACAATAAGACCTGTCAATTGTCACAAAGCAATTTGATTGTCAAGTGAAAGATCATATGCCACTTATAATGTTACTTCCCATTCAGTTGTTAAGTGAAACAATAAGTTGTTAAGATAGGATCATAAGACTACGACTTGCAATTTTACTGTTGGCTTCTTCATTGACTTTGCTTTTCAGAAGTTGGTTTTGAAGTGCATAAATGTTGATTATATGAGTAATAGATAATACAGTGTTTGTAAACACTCACTGGTTGCAAAGTGCCCACAAACTGATCATGTGACTATGAGGATGCTGCAATGATTGTAAATGAGAAAACTGGTTGTAAAGTTACTTTTTCAGCATTGTCATAACAGGGTAGTTGTTGTATAGTTGTTAAACAGGATAATTGGTAGGCAAAATCTACCTGTAGTTATTACAAACTCTGCAATTCATTATCTTCTCAAAATTTATGATAAAATTTTATATGAATTTTTTCACTCAATATTGCCATTGCTTAAACGGTCCATTAGTTGCCAAAATAGGAATTGTTTGAAACCAAAACATCAATTCTATGACAGAGATTCTCCCCCAACAATGACAATTATAATTTCTCCCATTTTAACATATTAAATTAATTAAATTTCATATCTGAACATAATTTATCTGAATGTATAATGTATAATATGAATTCATATTAGCTACAGTAATACCCAAGTATTTCATTTTTTCCTCAATCTTAAAACCAGTTCTGTACATAAGTTTCCTTTAATTTTCCATTTTTGTATTCTTTGCTTTAATACAACCAAAACAATCCTTTCTGGCATTCATATAAATAATAATAGATACGAATATCCATATATTTGCTATTGTTATTATCATTATTAGAAAATTTAGGATCCTCAATCCTCCATAACTGAATATTTTTTGTTAAATTTGTCAAAGATGAGACAGTGTTTCCAGTCAGTAGATGAAATATTTCAGTGAGTTGGCTTTGAAGTGTATAGTAATAGCTATTTGTATTTTCTTTTAGTGGAAATCAACATACAGAATATGAGTTATTTTTGTTGGACAGAGATTTCTTAGTGCTTTGTATTTTATTTCTCTCACTATGTTTCCTACTTTTAAAAAAAGAATCTAATGGCAGTTTGAAAAGTATGTATTACTTTGCCAAACTGTATAGCAGTAGATATCGTGCTAGTTAGCCCTAGAAATCAAAGCAGATCTCTGTCATACCAATTTGTATTCAGAATTGTGATATATTTTTCTTGGGTAACTTTTATTAGCAACTTTAAAATTTTAGAAGGTTCTGGTTAGTTCACATAACAGGTTACAGTTCTTCAAAAAGATAGGTATAAAATAATCCTGGATAATGATAGGATTTCCATGATTGTATTTTGGGGATTGAAATAGAGACATTAAAATACCATTATGTAATATTATGCAATAAATGTATATAATTTGGGCTTTGAAACATGTTGAGGTAATTCCCCATTAGGAGAATGAGAGTATACGTATTTGAGAGAAGTGTTTGAATAATACACACACAGTACACAGATACACTGTACAGTAAATGTAGGTTTTTACTTCCAGAAAGGTTTAAGCAAAGTCCAAAATAAGCAATCCAAAGTCATTCACAAGTAAATCAATAAGTTTTTCATTCCAGGGATAATCCAAATATCAAAGTCCAGTATCAAACACAGTTCAGCAATAGACTTACATTAAATCCAGTAATATCAGTAAATTAGAAGAAATGGAGCAACGGTAATACTTTCCAACAGAAGGAAACAAAGATACACTCACACTCTCTTCTGAGACTCAGACTAAACAAACCAGGTTTCTGGCTCCATCTTATGGCCATTTGAGAAACCACACCCAACTACAGTTTTGCATTTTCTTAAAGATACAGTTTTAAAATGTTTATCCTGGTTTATATATTTCTAACCCAAATAGCTGTTAGGTGACTCATATTCCTAACAAAACACAAAATAATATAAAATGTTTGTTACTTTGATTTCTTAAGAAAATGTGGTTCGAGAGTTTTGGATCCTTATTAATACTTTTATTTTTTGGGATAAAATTGTCCTTAATCTAAGAAAAAGGAAACTTCAAAAATCTGAAAGTACAAGCTAAAAATACAAACTAGGGAAAAGAAAAAAAAATACTTATCAATACTCACTAACTTTCCAATGAATTTATTAATATAATATGAACAATGCAAGATATAGTGTAAGATACCACAGAATGTGTGCCATAATTAATACATATTGCTGCCTCCTTGGATGGTGGAAAAAAATTGCCTTTTCCAAAATGAATCACATATTTCCATTCCTTGACACCTGAAAAATATTTCCATTTCATTATTTTTGCCACTCTTCATGCTCAGTACAACCCTGATTAAATATATTATGGTAGTTGGTGTAGCACAAATAAAAGCCACAGAACTTAAATACTTTAAAATATTAAAAGTATTAAAATATTTTTAAAGTATTAAAATAATTTAGATAAGATTTGGAAACATGCAGACTTCAGGATTCTGGTTAAGAGGATTTTCTTAATTTGATGTTAAGGTTTGGAATAACTAAACCTTTATAATATATTAATAATTATTAAATGAATGTTAATAATTCAGGTACTTGTCACTTAACAACCATAATTGAACCAGAAATTTTGCTTGTAAGTTGTTCCAATTGTATAGTAATTAAGACTTGATTTTAATACCATTTTATGACAGTCATAAAGCAAGTCATCATGGTTGTTAAGCAAACCACATGGTCATTAAGCAAATTCACTGTCTTAAGTGGGCATTTTTTGTTGGAAACCAGCAAAAACATCAGAAACAGCAAAAAAAAGTCGCATATCGCAGTCATGTTACTGTGGGACAATGCAGCGAGTCATAAATGTGATTTGGTTGCCAAACATCTGAATGTGATCATATGATTGCAAGAGATGTTGTGGAAACCAAAACTTCAAGGACAAGTCATAAGTAATTTATAGGGGGTCTGTTACAAGTTCAAATGGTCATTAAATGACTGGTCATTAAGCAAAGACTACTTGTACTGTATTTTAAGGTGGCTTTATGTTTCTTATTCAACTATCATTAATCACCTTAAGTATGATGATGTTTACTTACTTTCAGTTTAAATAGTTCATTTGTTACAATACTTTGAGGTAAGTATTAATTATTGCATTAACATTTTAGAAGAGAAAACACTGCAGAGGCCTTACCAGAGGGATTTTTTGATGATCCAGAAGTGGATGCAAAGGCAAGTATTTAATTGTTTCAGCTCATATGAGTTCTTCGGCATGTGACACATTTTGAGTTTTACCTACATCATAGCTCGTATTATTGTTCTAGCAATAAATAAATAAATAAGATCACTGTCTTATTTATTGGAATAAGAATACCATTGAAGCCTTGAGATCTTAGAGCAAAAGGCTGGGTATATATCAAGCAAACAAATAAATGAACAATCCAAGGACTTCTAGTTGCTGTAATAGGTCCCTAAAATCGTTGATATTCTTCTCTGTGATTTGAGTGATACTATAAAATATAACTGATATTTTAATATTATTATTGATATAGTAAAACCTGAATAGATCTCTCTAGATTTAATCTTCACTTAAGGTGATATTGAATGCCTTTTATGATGTATTTATTGAAATCTCAACAATTGGAATGGAATGAGCAGCTATACATTTGTGGAAAATGGAAGTGTTGTGGACATAGTTTATTTAGACTTCAATAAGATATTTGACAAAATAAACTGCAGCCTATTTCTTGGTAAATTAGAACAATGTGGGATAAAGTATACCACCATCAGATGAATTTATAACTGGCTGACCAAATGCACTCAGCACGTAATCTTCAATGGAACTACATCTAGACGGAGAGAAGTAAGCAGTGGAATTCCTCAAAGTTCTATCTCAGGACCAGTACTTGTCAATATTTTCATAAATGATCTAAATGAGGGGATAGAATGGGTACTCATCAAATTTGCAGACCAAGCTGAGGAGAATAGCCAACAATTTAGATGATACACTTGTGCACAATTATTAGGCAAGTTGTATTTTGGAGGATTAATTTTATTTTTGAACAACTACCATGCTCTCGGTTACTCCAAAATGTTAAATATGAAACCTGAATATTAAGAAAGTAAAAGTGAGGCTTTGGCTTTCTTAGGAGAATATCTATGCACAATTATTGGGCAACTATTAGTATGCAGAATTATTATGCAACTAAATGAAAAATGAAACTTGCCCATCTCATTTATTTGCATCTGTTAAAGCAAGAATAATAAACAAACAACTCAAAATGTAGAAATAAACATTTCTGACATTTCAACAACAACAAAAAATCAGTGACCAATATAGTTCTTCTTTTCAGTAACAGTCATAAGCCTTCTTTCCATGGAGACTGTCAGTTTCTCGATCTGTTGATGATCAACTTTTTGTGCAGCAGCAACCATAGCCTCCCAGGCATAGTTCAGAAAGCTGTACTGTTTTCCTTCACCCTATATCTCTTGTTTATCTCAAGTCCTCAATAGAGTTTAGGTCAGGTGAGGAAGGGGGCCATGTCATTACTCTTTCATCTTTATAGCTTTTACTGTGTAGCCACAAAGTGGAGTATTTTGATGCATGCGATATAGGCTGTTGATCTTCTTAGCCCACACCCTCATTATACAAATACACATCACTTGATATGCTTATATTGATTAAACATTATACAGCTTGATGGAAAATATGCATAAAAATGATATAGTCAAAATACTCACTTGACTTTTGGACTTCCTGCATGTAAAAAAAGTAAGAATGCCACTGAAATGTTCTCAGTGAAACTTAATTCATGACAGAAAAGAGGATTCATTATTGGGCAGATTTGAGGTAAGACTTCACATTTAAGGACATTTAAGTCTACCACTGAAAAAGTACATGTAACAAAGATAATAATGCTTGTTGAATTTTAATTTTGCCTTGTATGTGTATGTGTGTTCTAGGTGCGCAAGGTTGACACTCCAAAGGATCAGATGGACAAAGAATGGGAGGAATTCCAGAAAGCTATGAGACAAATCAATACAGTAAGTTAATATCCCCTGTTTTGAAATTAGTGCATATACAAAAATGAAACTAGGCAGAAGTGATCTTATCTGCCAGTCTCAATGCAGTTTACATAGTAGATGAGTGGACAAGGCAGGAATTGGGTGGTCGTCCCATATACAATATCCATCATACAGATTAAGAACAAGATCCAGATAAAACATTCCTTTATTAAGATGCTAAATTAGTCCAATCCTTTGAACTTAATAATATATATCATGTTACACAAATGTTTTTCAATTGATAAATTGTTATCTCTTTCTTTTATAATGCCCATGACAAAGGAAATTCTGAAACATGTTGACTTTTTAAAAGTATTTTCCTACTGGCACTTGGGATATTCCTCTCCTCTTTTGTGGGGATTGGGGGTGCCATCCCTGTTCCTTGTTTTCTTTTCGCTGTCTCTTTCAAGAGTTAAGGCTTAGGAGGGAAGATTTTCCTGCCAGGGGAAATGTATATGAACTGGCAATTCCAGAGTTTTAATTACAGTAAAAAGAAAGGAATCTTTACATTGTTGTATTTCTCTGTTCCATAAATTGAGCCTACAACTGCTATATTTTTTAAAAAAATTCTGAGTTAGATTTCAGAAGCAATAGTGGCTGAAGAAGATGAAGAAGGGCGACTTGACCGTCAGATTGGAGAAATTGATGAACAAATGTATGTAGTTCACATTTTTTCTTCCAATGCTATTTATGAACAGTATTTCTCAAAAACTACTTAAATAACTTTTTATATTGCTTTGGTAAGACTAATACTTGAAATACTGCGGCCAGTTTTAGTCAACATGATCCAAAAAAGATGTTGAAACTCTAGAGCAGGGGTGTCAAACTCAAAGGCCACAGTCGGTATGCGGCCCGCAATGTGGTTGGATCCGGCCCATATGGCCATCCTGGAAAATGTAAGGGGCTGGCCTCTGTCACTTCAGCCCAGTCTACCCAACGCAAAGAGGAAATATCGGGCCAGCATGGCTTTGGTCCGGTCTACCCAATGTAAATTGGAAACAGCAGGCCATGTCGTTTTGGTCCAGTCTACCCAATACAAAGAGGAAACATGTCAGCAGTTTGGGGAGTGGCGTCAAGCTGGCCTTGCCTACTCAGTTGGCCATGCCTGCCCACCCCCTAATGTCAACCACAGCACTGATGCGGCCCTCAGTGAAATTTAGTTTGACGCTCTTGCTTGACAGACTGCATAGATGCTTCTTAGCCCATGACCTTTGCAATTGTTGGACAACTAATTTTCTGAAAAATTATATTTTGGAAACAAAACATATAGAATAAAGGGTGTTTTTATTTTTACATTTTCAGCACATTGCTTATGCCAAATTGATGCTTTTTATGTGCTGTGGAAAAAGCTTATGTTCCTTAGCCAATCTGTAGTTGTAATGAAAATATAGTTTCAGATTGACAGATCGAAGCCAGAAAAAAATAGTAATTAACTGGCTTCACTGCAGCTACGTCAAGGTCTTCATAAAATGCTCTTTATATGAAGTTGCATTCCATTAATATATAAGATTTATTTTTTATATAAGATAAGTTTTTAGCTTTTCACTTAATCAGAAAAAGAGGGAAAACTGTTTATTTTATTTTATCTTAGGGAATGTTTCCGTCGTGTTGAACAACTGCGTGACCTCCAGGAAATAAGAAAATATAAATTAAAGGAAGCCATGAGACAAACAATCACACAGACTAAAGAAGCTGAGGATATTGATAGTAATGATGAAGGTGAATTGCAGGACTTGCTGTCTCAAGACTGGAGAGCAAAAGGAACAATATTGTAACTGCCTGAGAAGAGGAATTAATTTTCTAATTGTGACATTGTTTTTTTTAATCATTTACTAACACTTTTCATACATACATATGTATATAAAATAAATCTTGTAGAGATTAAAGCTATCGTATGTCATAAAATATTTTTTATAAAAACTTATAGCTGTTATGGAAACAAAAAACCTTTTATTTGAGCCACTACTGTGCTAACAGTAGCTTTTAAATATGCATTGAAATGTGCCCTTTTTTGTCTGAAGGCAGATCAACATAAAAGCAAGTGTTTACCAGTTAGAATTGTTTTGTAGTCTTAAATAGAAACCTGTTTACTTTTATTTCCTGCACTTAACATATGCCATAGTTGTTACCAGGGGTGGGATACGAAAGGGTTAACTACCAGTTCAGGATTTACAAGCTTCCCTGCCTGTTTCAGCTTCCCTGCCTGCTGTAAGCCTGTAAATAGTCATAAATCATTAGCACTCATTAGCACACTGCCTGCCGAGAAGCAGCCTTTGAAACAGCCCTCTTTTCTTGATTTTTTAACTGCAGCTGTGGCTTGTTCAGCAGCTGAAGTTGAAAAATCAGGAAATAAAGATCAGGTAAGAACCCAGGTGAGTGGGTGGGCAAAAACATCAGCAGACATAGAACCGGTTCTGTATCTGCTGCTCTTCAGAACTACCAGTTCTACAAAGGTGGACAGACCTGGTAGAAACCCACCCCTGGTTGTTACCTCCATACTATGTTGAAAGCTTAATGTTAACTTGTGTTTCCTCAGATTCATAAATTAGCTATTAGCTCAGATATCTGTTATAAATCTAAATCGATTGTTTCACAGAAATCAGATTTTTCAAATTCACTGAAATTTACTAATTGTGCATTTTGTAGCCTTGCATTGAATAACTGTTTATTTGATACAGGTATTCATTATTAAATATCAGTGATTATTTACCAATGTATAATCCTGGGAAAGGATGCCCTATTGAATTCAACAGCGTGAGTTTTCCAAGTAAGTGTATTCTTTTCACACAATGATAGATCTTCCTTTTTTCCTTCTGCACCATGTCATAAGCATACTCCTAAAGATTATTGAGTGATGCTCAGTAGGAAAGGAAGAGACTTAATGCTTTCATAAACATATCTAAATTATATTGAGCCAATACTAGGAATGAAAATCTGGGGCTTAGCTGGATAAACCTGGCAGTAAACAAATGGTTACTGAATAAATTAGTTTTAGAAACAATTTGATAATGTAGCCCACTAATCTAAAATGTCTAAATCCCATGTTTCATTTTCATCACATTACTTCATGTTGTCACATAGCACATGGAATTCTTTCTACAATCCTCTTTAAGAAACAGAAAATTGATAAATACACATAAAACTTCATCATTAGTGAAAAACTAATAATTTTTAATATTTGCTACCTGTATAAAAGAAAGTAAGCTTAAAGGTTTTAATTTAATTTCCACATTAATGAAATAGGGATGAGAGCATACAATTTAACCAAGCTTTGGTATAACTGTAATATATGCTTCATTAAATGAAGATGATAAAATATCACTTTCAGAAATGTCAACTATGTAGCTGGTAAAACTTAGAAGTAAGTATATCAGTGTTATGCCATTCTATAGGAAATTGATGCTTTGTCATTACTCTTATTAAATACCACTTTTTAAAAACTCTTCCATAGTGAATTGTGCTTGAAAATAGAATTTTAGCTTTAAAAAGTTTATTCATCAAATAAATGTTTAAAATATTTATCCATCAAATGTTAGATTTACCAAAAATTTGAGAACTTTAAGAGAAGTGTATATCTTATTTCTATCTTTGATGGCTATAATGATCTTTTTGTTTATTTTTCTGCAAGAAGTTTGACAAGCTGTTGAGATTTTCACCATTTGATCCGTATGTAAATACAGAATTTGCTGTGATATCATTCAACTCATTTGTTGTCTCTATAATGTATATAGTTTGCTGGGGGGGGGTGTCATTACCCAATGTTTTCAATTTATTTATCAGATTAATCTCATGCATACTTTAAAATGTTTTTTTCATATGATGCGTATGTAATAATTGGACAAACATAACCTGCATTAAGGCTTCCACTCAAGATTAAGGAACAAGTGATTTCTGCATTAAATTCAATGCACTATGTTGAACTCATCTATTTTATTCACTATCAGAAGAGGCAAACTATCTATCTACTTTTAGACAGTTTAGTAAGGAATTGAATTTCTAAACTTAAATTTTATTGAATGGTGATTTCACAGATATCAATTATGCATATTTGATACACTGAAATAACAGTTAAAGAACCCCCTAAATTAATCATATTTTAAAAATTGGAATGGGATGACTCACCATGACTAGGTTAGCATGGCTGGCTGGACATGGCTAAGTCAGCATGAATGACCAAGGATGACTCAGTACAGCCAGGTCGGTGCAAATGGGTAGGTATAGCTAATTTGGCATGGAACAAGTTATCCCAGCCAACTGAATGTGTGGACAACTTGGTGCCCCAGAAGAAATATCAGCCCCCTAATGTGTCAGCCAATGGGATGCAGGGATGGGTACAACTCATGGTGAGACAGTTTGGATCAAGCAGGGTCAAAAGAGTCACGCACCCCCACCAGAAGAACCATTGTCCCATTTCGTGCGAATAGCAGAGCTCATAATTAGGATTGCTTGCCCCGGAAGGTGCCTTCGTGCCTCTCAAGATGGGAGGCACAACCTGACAAGCATCCATACTTCATGCCACAACAAGCCATCATCCACATCCAGATTATGGCTCTACTGCTACCATTCTAGAGTTGACTGCTTGGGATGTCAGCCAGAGAGCTCCACAAAGTGGCTGATTCTTTGTCTGGAGCTTCCCTTACAAAGAAGGGAAAGAGTAAGCCTTGAGAAGCATGCTTCTCTGTGGTGGGATGGGGGAAGAGAAAAGCAGCAGGAATCTGAAAGGCTGGTTGACAGGATTCTAAGAAAAAAAATTGTCCTTGGTTTTGTTGGCCTTATATAGCACCAAGTCATGCCTAATAGGCAACAGCAGAGGAGCCGGTCTCGCCCTCAGAGGAAAAGTTGATGGGCCTGCACCTGCCTTAAGACATAGTATAGAACAATGTCTATGATATTCTCAGTGATCCAGGTCCTGGTTGTTCCAAAGGTAGATTTTCAAGAGGCAGCTGGACTTTCCAGTTTTTCTTTGAAGACGTTCCACTTCTCATCCACAAAGTTGCTTCGTGGATGAGAAGCAAAACATCTTCAAAGAAAAAACAAAGTCCAGTTGCCTCTTGAAAAGCTGCCTTTGGGATAGTATAGAACGCTTTCCCTTTCTCCCAAGGCACTGTGGTTTTGCTCTTGCTCCAGCAGCCTGCCTCTTGTTATTTTCCAGCATTGCTGGAGGGGGAACATTTGCCCAGGAGGATAACATAGGCTTAATTTGTGTTTTATTCAGAGCTGCCAACATCTAGAAAGGAATAAAGCGATAACTATAAGTCATCATAAGTTTGTTAAAAACGGATCATCCAAACCAATCGTATCTCATTTTTCAACAGGACTAAATTAGTTGACTAAATCAAGCTTGGGCGGAGTTAGGGGAGTGGAGGTGCTCCATGCATTCTCTACCCGCCTACCTCATAGTGCTGGTGGAACCGCTCATGGCAAAACGCCGCGAAGGTCATAGTGCCGGTAGAGCCACTCATGGTAGAGAAATGACGGAGACTCAAAGCTTTGTGTGCTTCCAAAGGATAGTTTGAAGCAGAGCGATTAGCTCCGTTCAAAGCATCCTCTTTGCAAGCAGACAAAGCTTCCCCAAACTGCTGGTAGTCAAGTATGTGTGCGTGCACACACATACACACCATTCCAAGTTTGGGGACTTTTATTCACAGAGGAAGGAGAAGTCCTTCTCAAGCCAGGCATGATTGACAGTTTGCAACCTCAGATGTAGATAAAAATCTCCAAACTTGGAATGGTATGTATGGTTGTGTGTGTGTGTGTGTGTGTGTGCAGAGCACACCAAAGGAGATATTCTCCCAATTGCAGATGTCATTGGCATTTCCCTGTCCAGTGCTCCTTCCTAGCAAAGCAGGAGGGTGCTGCTGTTGTAGAAGCACAGAGGAAAAAGGAAGCAGTTTCCTCCAAGTCTAACTTCTGCCTCGATAGATCTTTGGAGAGCAAGAGGAAGAGGCAGAGGAGCAGCCCTCCCTGGTCTTGCACAAGGGAGGCTGGCCCTTCTCAAAAGGGAATCTCCATTTCCAATTGCGCATGGTAAGGATGCTGGCTTGTTGGGACCCCACCACCCTCTCTCTTCTCCAGACATCTGTCAAGGCAGAAGTTGGCGGGAGGCAAGCACGCCCATGCAGAGCTGAGCTGGGATGACGGCTCCCGGGCCCCAGAGAAGGCTCTGTGTGCCACCTCTGGCACACATGCCACAGGTTCGCCATTACAGGCCTCAGCAAAGAGTCCAGTCCTTTCACCATTTTGTCTGCCCAAGACGCAGCCTCCCTGGTGAGGACAACATACTTGCATTTCCTTCACTAAAACAGCACAAAGCCCAGGGAGGGGGCACCTCCTCCTTTTCCTCTTTTCCCCCACTTCTTAGAAGGAAAAGATCAGGGCTTGCTTTTCAGCCAGGAGATCGCTTGGCAAAGAAGAGGGGGAGAAAAAACAAGACGCCGTCACTTTAAGTTGAAAAGCCAAGAAGCAGTGGCTCAGAAAGAGATTTTTAATTGCAGAAGTTCATTTCTGGATCAGCTGCACAACAAACTGCATACAAGGAAGGATTCTTGTATGGTTCTGTTATGTATTAGCATACTTACCTGTGATTGGTTGGTCCACGGTGGCAGGAAATTCGATGAGCCGTCACTGGCCACAGCCACACCTGGCTGTAAAAGGGCTGCCGCAGTTTCTTCCAGGAGCAGTTCTAAGCAGAAATAAAGATGACTGGTTACTACTCTGGCTCCTAGAGTCTCATTCCCACCATCCATCACTGGCGGCGAGGATGGGATACTGAGACAAAGGGATCTGCCCAAGCTTGATTTAGTCAACTAATTTAGTCCTGTTGACAAATGAGATACGATTGGTTTAGATGATCCGTTTTTAACAAACCTATGATGGCTTATAGTTATCGCTTTATTCCTTTCTAGATGTTGGCAGCTCTGAATAAAACACAAATTAAGCCTATGTTATCCTCCTGGGCAAATGTTCCCTCTCCAGCAATGCTGGAAAATAACAAGAGGCAGGCTGCTGGAGCAAGAGCAAAACCACAGTGCCTTGGGAGAAAGGGAAAGTGTTCTATACTATCCCAAAGGCAGCTTTTCAAGAGGCAACTGGACTTTGTTTTTTCTTTGAAGATGTTTTGCTTCTCATCCACGAAGCAACTTTGTGGATGAGAAGTGGAACGTCTTCAAAGAAAAACTGGAAAGTCCAGCTGCCTCTTGAAAATTTACCTTTGGAACAACCAGGACCTGGATCACTGAGGATATCATAGTCATTGTTCTATATCAGCAAGCACGTGGCGACGTGCTAAATCAGCAAGCACATGGCGACAGAGGAACACTGGCGACCGACCCATCGAGACAAGATGGCCGGAAACAACATGCCACCCGCACCTTTCGATCCAACAACTGAAGACTGGGAATCATACATCAATCGATTCCTCATGTTCCTCAAAGGGAGCGATCTCAATAATATTTCAGAACACAGGAAGAGAGCTGTCTTCCTTACACATTGCAGTCCTGCCATATTCAAAATGGCCAATGTGTTAGCGGCGCCAACTGAGGTGAAAACGATGGCCTGGCCAGACCTGCAGAGAATACTGCGGGCTCACTACACACCAACCATATCCTGCCTCATCAAACGACATGAATTTTATTGGCATGACCAAAAAGGCAAGAGCATCAGTGATTTCATCACAACCTTGAGGGACATTGCCGGAGCATGTGAATTCCTAAATATGGATGAGGCTATGAGAGGCCGAGTAGTCTTGGGCCTGAGAAATCTAACACTGCAAGGCAGATTATTAACAAAACCCAAGATAACACTGAAAGAAGCAATAAAAGAGGCCACCGCAGCAGAAGCAACCCCAAAATCAGCTGCTGCCATGCAGAAAATGAATAAAGCGCCACCTGATCCACCAAAAAACACCACCACGGCCCACCACGAGGACATTGAGTCCGCATTGGAAGACGAAGAGGAAAACGAGAGGGTAAATCAACTCCGTTTGGAACATAGCAGAAGGGGCCGAAACAG